CAAAATTAAGAATCAAAATTTGGCCCAGAGTGATAGCCTAGCAGCTAAAGTCCTCACCTTGCACACACCAGGATCCCATGTGGGCACTGGTTGTAACCCTGACAGCCCTCATATCCCAGCAGTTCTGCTTCCCATCCAGCTCCTTGCTGTGGCCTGGGAAAGCAGTGGAGGACCGCCCAAAGCCTTGGGACCCTGCACCCATGTGAGAAACCCGGAAGAGGCTCCTGGCTCCTGGCTTCGGATTGGCTCAGCTCTGGCCATTGCAGCCTACTGGGCAGTGAATCAATGAATGGAAGATCTTTCTCTCTGTCTCTCCTCCTCCCTATATATCTGACTTTGCAATAAAAATAAATAAATTTTAAAAAAAAGAATCAAAATTTGCAGTAAAAAAATGAGGCTTAAATATCCTTAACATATCTTTAGAATCATTTGTGTCTTGCATATCCTTCATTAATCATTCTCATTAACAAAATCAACAAAATTTTTCATGTCCATTCCATGTTTGTCACTAGGCCATGGCTGGCTGTCATTAATTACATTTGCTGTGTTTGGAGGCGACATATAGTAACTATCCTAAAGTAACCACTACAACCCGAGAACACGAACACGAGAACACGAGAACACGGCGTAACTTACACAGGTGTTCCTGTTTGCACGTGCAGGTGTGACCGCACAGCAACAAGTTCCAGCACTTCAGGCATGTCTGCACCGGGAAATGCAAAGCAGATCAGAAGAAAACAAGATTCAGACATTGTTTGTGTACGATGCACCCAATGACTGACACGCCGTCCTTCCTGGACCTCAGAGTTCCTGCAAGCCTGTACTCATCGTACACGACTCGTACGCCGCCAGCAGTCATCACTGGTCCAGACACGGTTCATGTGCACATCATCTACCCAATATTATAGCAATTCATTGTTAACAATAAACACCCAGTGCTCCAAAAACTAGACAAGAGCCTGAAATATTTCTAACATTTGCATTTTGGATAATCACCCATATCAACATTTCTCTTTCATTAACAGCTCTCAGGATTTTTATACAGGAATCAATCAATACAATGCTTCCTACTAATTATACTTTTACAATGAGGCTATGGTTGGTATTCACTGATTACAGGAGATGCATCTTAATAATACAGTGAACACTACTAAATAAAACACCGAAGCCAGAAGAAGAACGTGGAGGACAGGCTCCCCAAGATGAGAGAGCCCAGACCTCGTGCCCAAGCAGCCTGGCACAGGGCCGTCCGTGCTGGGGAGCAGGAAGCGGTGATCCCAAACATGCAGATCTCTAGCGTTTGCTTTCCTGTGTATCATTTATCCGGTGATTGTAGTGCTTTTTCCTTCTTAACAGAAGGACTAATCTTACACATGAAGCTAAGAAGATTGATTCAATTACCCTATATGTGATCTTTAGTGAGGAATGTAACACCCCCACCCATTCCCGCCACTGTGTCACCACAAATACAGGAGGTTTATATCACACATCTGTCTTTTTTACCTTGCATATGTATTCTTACACAGATGCATTTAGATTGAGGACAGAAATTCATTAAAACAATCCAATCTCTTCAGGATGTCTCCTGAGAGACACGCAGCACTGCCTTTCCCACTCCACGGCATCGCAGGGCTCCGGGGTGTTTTGCTCATCGCCCGCGGACTCACACAGCAGTCAGCGCAACTGGTCCAGACACGGGACTGCTTTCTCATCTACATTTGAATATTCATTACTTCACTAGCATTCATTTTATAGCCCCTATAAATCACAATAACCAAATGATAAGGGCATTGAATCTGTATATCTGCCTACAGAACCATGTTGTTTATTTCATAATTCTCCATAAAGGAGTGTTGATAACAACAACACGTTCACCTCCCTACCTTTGGTCACTTCCTCACTTCGGTCAGGTCTCCTCCTGGATCGTATTTCACTCTGTGATGATAGAATGGATACTCTAAGCAGCCCCCCATGACCTGAGCATTAACCATTACTGGCAGTGTTCTTTATTTTCCTCATGACCTTGAGTGCCAGAGTGCACCCATTCTGCAGAATGCTGTGCTTAGCAGATGACTTGAAAACCCCAAGACTCATTCTCACGGGTCCTTTCCAGACCCCCTTCACTTACCCACTGAGGCATACAAACGTCGCAGGGGGGCGGGGCACACTCTCAAACAGGAGACTGACCCAGGAAATAAACTTGAATCTAACTTTTAGAGCCTGTTATGATTTTTAGACAAAGTGGTAAACCCCATGCTCCATGTGCAAATGCCGTGAGCGGTCTACACGCCACAGGCGGCAGCACGGATTCAGGCACGGACCGTGTGTCCTCACCCTCACCGGTGTGTCACTACCGACCAGTCTCCTAAGTCACTAATCATAATGAAGTAGATTATCAGGAATCTGGAAGACAACGACATGGCCTCCAGGCATGTACTTAGATTCTTCTGCCCTGCTAAATACACCTCTGCTTGCAAGTATCAAATAATCAATATAACAGTTCATATCAGGTCCACATTTATCATTAGACAAGGATGAACCTCTTTCAAATATGTCTAATACTTTCAAAACATTATCATAGTCAGCAGTGTGCAGAAGGCACCACAACTCCAGGCAGGAACACGGGCAGCTACTCACCATGACCTTCAGGCCCCTGGGGTCCTGAGCACAGCAAGATGGCTGGATCTGACACAACCAAGCCAAGCGGGGCAGATGCCAGCAAGATTGACACAGGCACAAACACACACTCCACCTTCACGTACCCCGTCACGTGGCAGGCAGGAAAGGCAACCAAGTTTATGACATTTCACTCAGCAAAATCAATACTACTTAACCTTATTCTTTCCCATTTGGCTCACTCATGGCCAGGAGCGAGGACACTCGGCTGCCTCTGATTCCTCATCACCCTTATTGTGTGCTAGGAGTTTTCACTGCATCAGATCACACATTCCTAAAGGACCCTTCATTTTAGTATTTCCACGATTCTGACACTGATGCAATTATTATAGTCCAAGCTCATTAAAAACTATTGAAGCAAGTGACCCTTAATTCCAGAATCTCTAGAGACAATTTCAAACAGAAGTACCCAAGGCGGTTTCACGCTGTGCTGGACCTCAGAGTTCCGGGAGGCACTGTTTGCCATGAATGAGTTGAATAATAAATAGTCAATAGCAGCTTACCATAATAAAATCAAAATCAACGAGCACAAAGCCAAGGCCGTACCGTTCAAATTCCTAGCATCCTCCCCCAGGCCCCGTCTTCACCACAGCAATGGATGACTCGTGTGACAGGCTTGGACATCGGACGTCCATCACGCACACTCATCCTTGGTCCAGACATCACTCCTGCCTCTCCCTGTTAATGAGTTAACTTGCTAGGCCAGAAAACTAAGTAACTGTGGATCACAAAAGAAAAAAAGCAAAAGGACCTGGATTATGCCATATCCTGTCGTCTAATTTTAATTTCTTTAACTACTTCGGAGTTTCATACATGGATTATGCCGAGTAATGCACTGTGCCACCGATGAGAATATTTCATATTTTTTAAATGTAGGGTGAATGTCCTTTTTAAAAACAGTTCTACAAAGAATGAGACTCTTGCCTTGTTTTCAGTACACCAGAACACATGCAGGCCACTATAATCACCCCAAGTACAAGCACCCTGAGACACAAGGCCAAGGGGCGGTTTTAAATGGAGACCTTGTCTGCATGCACCCGGAGGCCCACACTTCACCTGCTCCCTGAGATCTGTGCTATTACTTTTCACAGTTGGGGGCACTTCACTTAGACCTGCTTATGTTTGTTTATTGATTTTCACTGATCTAAACTAGTAAAAAGAACTGTGATGTCTGTTACCTTTCCTTACCCAAAAAGCAACCACCTTCGTTTCAGTGTTTTTGATATATATTAACAGATTTACTTGCTATGTGGCATATTTTCATAACTGTTTGATGGTTCACTTATTCATGTTTATTTATTTGCATCTGTTGGCTGGTTAATCTTGTAATGGCAATATATGAAAACATACTGGTAGAAGCAAAACCCGTGAACACAAAGGAAGAACAATGCCCTACTTCCATCATCTGTCTGAAGGGTCATTTCCAGCAGAGGCACTAGAATAGATTTTCATTTTTACGAAACCTCTGATTTTCAGACACATATTATTCATCATCTGTGAATCATCAAAGATGATGAGCACCCATTATTCCTGATGTAGGTTATTTCATGTAATTGCATATTTATCATTAGGTCACAATTGGCTTTGATCACACTAACTACATGGAACAGCCTCTTAAAAAAGATTCACGCTTGCAGAACGGTGACTATTACCGATAGTTATTGCCGTGTCCTTACATCCGGGGCCTCCTCCCAGAGTGTGACCACTGGGGGACCCGACAGCCAGCCACAGGGTGTGTTTCTGACAAGTGAAAAACAGAACAGATGCCAGGTCAGAATATCCTCTTCTCCTGATGCTGTGTTCCTCCTTACCATCACTCACCTGAATGCTACTGCGTCGGTATACTCTAGATTGCTAAGGAAAACAGAGAAGTCCTTGCGCATTCTTTGGTCTCTATGGAAGCAGTAGCAAAACACTCCACTGCTTGGAGCTCAGACTTCCAGAGCAGTAGTCACCAGCGGCCGTGACTCATACGCCACCAGTCCTCACCACTGATCCAAGATGGCCCTCCGCTTTGCTGTTTCTGAATCTATTTGTTTACTAATCACTCAAATGCTAATGATCAAATAGTCGTGAACATCCCAAACTTCAGAATAAAATCCTAACATACCTTTTACAGCTATCAGCGGGATCATTATAACACTTTGATTACTGATTCCTAACTAATATTAGTTAATATATGCAATCTTTCAGAACAATGCTACACTTATAATTGGCCATGGGTATCCTCCATAATTTAGACACAATACTCTTAACAATACAGAGAACATGGTTTAAAGCCACCAAACCCGAGGCAAGAATCCTAACCATACTCACATAGGACTCTCCGTTCCTACATGGAATAGCACCTGTAGAGCTGCAACCATGGAAGGAGACATGTTGGCTGGGAGCGCTCTCTGTGAACACCTGCCAGAACAGATGACAGAAATAATGGAAGTCTGTCCATTACACCTCTCCTTTCATTTTATTAGTCATGTAAGGGAAAACAAACAGTACTGAATTTGGCCCTACCTAAGCAAGGACTTAGTCATTATTTTATTATAAATGCCATCAGCTAAAGAAGTAATGTCTTTGAGCCTTTACTTCTTAATAGACTGGAACATTTTAATAAACGTTAATATCACATCTTCTATTGAAGTGTTTAAATTTTCATTGGTCCAATCATAAGAACAGAACGAAACGCATGAACACAAACGCCAGGAACACCCCTGACCACTCCCATCAGAAGGACGAGAGGGCAGACGCGTCATCTCAACCTGTTGGACCTCAGACTTCCAGACCAGCGGTCATCACGCATCCACGACTCACGACTCGAGTCATCATCATTGATCCAACATCGGCCTGCCGCCCTCGTCTGACTGGGTTCTAACTCACCCATCGCTTCACTGACCACAGAACCAGATCATGAAAATATAAGAACAAGCACACGTTAACAGCTATCTAGGGGATATTTTTTAAAAAAAAAAATCAGTCATATCTCTTGGTGTATTCAATTTTAGTTTTTGCTATATGGATTAATCAGCATAGTTTTTTATATTTATCATTGTCAATTATCAATTTCATATTTAGCATCGGGTCATAGCTAGCCTTCCAAGTGTATACACAACACTAGCAATGCAGGCAATATGGTTTATAATTAACAAAGCCACAGCAAGAAAACCTGACTGTACTCACGTGGGATTCTGTGTGGCTGGGAGAGCAGCACCTGCAGAGCTGTGATCATGGACGAGGATGGACGTCACCTTGGAAACCACCATGCTGAGGCTACAAAGCAGAGCAGATGAGAAAAACTTTGGCTTTCTCTTTATCCTTGCAACCCCTTTTATTGTATTAGCCATTTACAAATGTGTTGAATTGTGAAGACTTTTTTTTTGGTGGAGGTGGGGAAACAAACAGCCCTAAATATGGCCTCCCCAAACAAGACATTGGGCCATAACTTTTCCTTTTTATGTGTGCCATACTCAGGCAAATGAACCATTATTTGAGCTTTTCTTTCTTAATGGGTTTTGGGGATTTTAATATTAATAGTATTTATTTACCTTACAATATTTACATAACTGGACAATTCCATACCTTCTTCATTTCTACTTATTTAAATATTTATTTAATGACTCCTTCAATGACCCACTAAACATCAGAATGAAACATATGAACACCATCAGCAGGCACAACCTGACCACTCCCATCAGAAGGACGAGAGGGCAGACGCGTCATCTCAACGTGTTGGACCTCAGACTTCCAGACCAGCGGTCATCACGCATCCACGACTCACGACTCGAGTCATCATCATTGATCCAACATCGGCCTGCCGCCCTCGTCTAACTGGTTCTAACTCAGCCATCGCTTCACTGATCACACAGGTGCCTCTCGTGAGAAACTAGGAGCAAGACACTCACACGCACTCTGATGGCTGCCCAAAGGCTCCTCTCCAGCATCAGTCCTATCTCTTGCTGTATTCAACTTCAGTGTTGCAATATTGATTAGTCAGCATAGTTTCATGGCAGGGCCATATTTATCCTTGTACCAATGCTGGCCTTCATGGCTTACACACACTGCTCTTAACAGTACAGGGACTATGGCTTAAAAACCACAAAACCAAGACAAGAACTGTGTACTCACGTGGACTTAACACGCAGTGGCATTCAAAGAGCTGTGACCATGAAAGGGGCATAAGGCTGCTACGGGAGCTGCCACTCTGAGAGGACAAAGCAGAACATGCAATGGGAATATTAACCTTTGTCCATCTACCTGGCATTGCTCCTTTTGTCCTATTAGACATTTATAGATGTGAAATTCCATAAGTACAGCTGTGATACCATCTGTTCTTGGGCAAACAGACAGCACTGAACACGACCCTTCCCAAGCAAGGATTTCCTCATTACTTTAATTGTAGGCATTATCCTCAGAGTCACACCTTGGAACCTTTACTGCTTAATAGACTCTGATGTTGTAAATACATATTAATGGCATTTTGTCCATACATTTCCATAGTTAGTGCCTCACTTTCTCACTTGTTTAATAATTCTTTTATTATGTTTAATGATTCTTTAACCAATTACAAAAACAGAATGAACACATGAACACAAACATGAGGCGGACCCTTGAGAAGGCACAGACAACTTCCACATCATGTTGGGCCTCAGATTTCCAGGCCAGCAGACATCACTGTCCACAGATCAGGCCTAACGGTCATCATCATCGACCCAACATCAGCTCTCCTCCTCTCACTCAGCTGGTTTCTAACTAATGTTTTGTTTCATTAACACTAATTACTTAAGCATAAATCAGGAAAAAATAAAAACAAGGTCCTTGGGTATACTTCAATTGGGTCTTTTCCAACGTTTGTCAAATCTCTTGCTATGCTCAATTTTAATCAGGTGATACTAATTAAACATACTGCTAACGATGCCATATTTAATACTGAGCCTTCATTAATGATCACAAACACAGGATGCTCTTAATAATAGAGGAAAGATGCCTAGAAAAACCACAAAACCAAGGCAAGAACTAGACTGTACTCACACGGGACTCAGCCTGGACCACACAGCAGCACCTGCAGAACTGCAGCCTTCACATCCAAGTCAGCTTCAGCTGGGAGTGCCCTTTCTGGGAGCATGGAGTAGAACACACAACAGAAACACAGACTCTGAGTCCAGGTACAGACACATCTCCTGTCACCTCACCAGCGACTTCAGGATGTGCTTAATCCTGAGAATATTTGAGAAGATGAGCAGCAGCAAACAGGAATCTACCCAAACAAGCGTTTGGACAGAGGTCACTGTGTAGGCTTGAGCTGGTATGCTTAGTGGGTTTTGGTGATTGTAACATAGTTTTTAACTTCACCACAGAATTAATGCTGCACCTTTCTGATCCTCCTTTATGATTATTTCACTGAGCAAATTCTAAGACTATGCTGAAAATGCATGAATACAAACATGAAGAATGACACCGTACACCGAACCACAGGATCGGAAGCTAGAGATTTCACTTCTAGTTCTGCTGGACCTCAGACTTCCAGACCAGCAATCAGCATCCGTGCCTCATACGCCACTAGTCAACATCATCAATCCAACAACACGAACCTTCTTTCTCTCTTCTAGTGTTTCTAATTCACCAATTCACTAGCACCAATCACTTATCTATGAATCACAAAGACTTAAGAACAAATCTTTAGGTGTGTTTAATTACTAACTATAGAATCTTATCCAACATGGGTCATATGTCTTGTTATACCCAATTTTAATTTTATAATATTGATTAATCAACATAGTATTTCATAGCAATTCCAAATTTATCACTGGGCCATGGTTAGTCATCACAGTTTACGCATATATAATGTTTGCAACCAGACAGACAGAATATCTTTCAAAAACCATCCAAACCGAGGTGAGGATTTCAAGCATACTCATGCTGACCTGGGTGCTCCTGACCCATGGGACGCCTGCAGTGCTGTGACAGGGAAGCCGATGTCACCAGCTCTCGGGGTACCTGCCGTGGGAGAATAAAGCCAGGCAGATGACAACAATGTCAGTCTTCTGGTCATTTCACTTTTGAAATCTGCTCTGATTAGTCATTTAATGATGGTTCAAATTTGACAGAAGTTTTTTACTTGAAGGAAGGAACACCAGGACCACCCCTGACCACTCCCATCAGAAGGACGAGAGAGCAGACGTGTCATCTCAACGTGTTGGACCTCAGACTTCCAGACCAGCGGTCATCACGCATCCACGACTCACGACTCGAGTCATCATCATTGATCCAACATCGGCCTGCCGCCCTCGTCTAACTGGTTCTAACTCAGCCATCGCTTCACTGATCACACAGGTGCCCCTCGTGAGAAACTAGGAGCAAGACACTCACACGCACTCTGATGGCTGCCCAAAGGCTCCTCTCCAGCATCAGTCCTATCTCTTGCTCCACACAATTTTAATTTTGCAATTTAATGAATCATTGGCAATGCCCTATTTATCACTGGGCCATGGTTTGCCTTCATGGTTCACACACTAAAGGCCAAGACTGGACTATACTCACGTTGGACTCCAAGTTCCTGGTGCGTAGTGGCATGGAGAAAGCTGAGCCGATGGAAGAGAAGCAGATCATTCTGGGAGCACCGGGTCCACCACAACGCGGGGGTTGGAGAGGAGGGACGCAGCAAGTGCCCTGCTGTCCAACACCCTGGCACACATCTTCACGTCTCAGCCCTGGACGGATACCATCAACCCTTCTAAGTGGGCAAGAAACAAGTGTTGGTTATTTTTTTCTTAATGAACTTTGATATTTTAATGCACATTCATAGTATTTTTTTCCTCATCATAGTATTTGGATAATGAGACAATATGTCACCTTCTTTATTTATTTGTGAATTCTTTCACTGATTCAATGATGAAAATGAAAACACATTAGCAAAAATTCTAAGGATGACATCCTTGAAAATTCTTTTTTGTTTTTCTTTTTTTTTTTGCCTTTAAGATTTTCAACATCTAACCACAGACTAGGAAGGCACTGACGCGTCATCTCAACGTGTTGGACCTCAGACTTCCAGACCAGCGGTCATCACGCATCCACGACTCACGACTCGAGTCATCATCATTGATCCAACATCGGCCTGCCGCCCTCATCTTACTGGTTCTAAGTCACTGATCATTTCACTAGCACTGATCATGTAGGTATGCATTACGAAGAATTAAGAATAAAAGCCTACTGTGTACTTTAATGGCTGCCTACACAATCTTCAACATTTGTGACATCTGGCGTTGCACTCAATTTTAATTGTGCAGTACTGTTTCATCAACATAGCACTCCATGGCAATGGGCCCTGGCTAACCTTCACAGTTTTATACATAATATGCTTAACAATTCAGACAATATGGTTTAATAACCACCCAAATCAAGGAAAGGAGGACTTTGCTCACGTCTGACACCATGCCCCTAACGCACAGCAGCGCCTGCGCAGGAGGACGCACGTAGCCTTGGGAACACCACTGAGAGCACAAAGCAGAAAAGACGACAGAAATCGTCATCTTCGTCCCCTTACCCTTGAACTCCTCCTTTGATGTTTATCCAGTGGAGGACATGTTAAAGTCATGACATGGTTTGCTTGAGGAAACAGAACACGGCTGCTTGAACAAGGTGTCTGGTTGTTACTATTACAATGAAGTCTGAGCCTTGTTTCCTGAAGGTGATGGTAACACACAGTAATAGCATTTCTCTCCTTGCCATAGTATTTTCATAATTGGAAAATGAGTACTTCACTGATCCAATACAATAATACAATGAACCTGCATGAACACAAACACCATAAACAACCTTCTGGGATGTTCTTAACATGTTGGACCTCAGACTTCCAGAGCAGTAGTCATCATCCACCATGACTCACACACGCCACCAGTCCTCATCACGGATCCAAGATGGCCCTCCTCCACTGACTGACCAATTCAGTACAGTCTTAAACAATAATAGGAGTAAAATGAGAATAGTTTTGCAAACAGAAGAATGACTTTATACATAAAAGATGATGGGCAGCAAAAGCCTTCTTTCAGTGTATTTCACAGTCCCTGATAAAGCAGAGGACAAACTTGGACCACGTGAGGTCACCCAGTGGATGGTTACTCACCGGAGGAGGCATGCTTGGACACAACAGCGGCCATGGACTCCATGGTTGTGGCTCAGAAAAAACACAAAGAGCAAGTTCATTCTAAAGAAGACAGAGGAAGCTGATAAGAAATCAATCTTTCTTTCAAAAGGCTTTATGTTACCCTTTCATATTGGCAATTTACTAATTAATCTGTAGTAATACTAATAAATTATCTTCCTAATAAAATTAAAAACACAAACTTGATCTGACATGGAACAATACTGACCTTGACTTACAAACATTGTCCTTAAAGTCCTTAGACTGTGATCAGATCCTTGATCCACATGTTTTTAAGATGTTAGTGTTTATATTATTTGTTGCCTCACCACGTATATTCATATTTTGAAACGCTCCATTTATTTTTTTGTTTACTCATTTTTTTGTTCTGTGATTGATCTCTCTATAATAAAAGGTCAAAATTCAGTAACTCAGCTCTAATAACAAGATCACCACCGTGAGACTTCAGAATCACAATTAATGCTCAGTGGAGGCAGAGCATTTCCAAGCAGGAAAGCCCGAGGAAGGTCACCCAGGGAGCACTGTGCACACAGACGCCATGCAGCCCATCTGTGGAGTCTGTAAGAGACGCGGGAAAGGACAACTCCACTTGTGCTAGATGACAGATGTTGCGGCATTAATTAAAATCCTTGACTTGTGAGCGGCTTTTTTTGAGTGGCACCAAGTTAACCTTTAATGAATGCCAACCTGCAAGGCAAGAAAAGGAGCTCTGTGTACTGTGAGAACTTTTGATTGTTCAGCATTTAAACAGAATCAATGTAAATGACATTTCCTAACAAGGTCACATCGATGGTCCATGACCTTCCTGGTTAATGTTTGTGTAACTTTCTACACATCTGAATCTATATCAACTTGTGTGTGTATTTTCTCATGGATTCATTTAGTCATCAATTCACTTATCTAAGAAAAAATCAACAAAACAAACAAAGCACCAACTTAGAACTAACGCGAGAGTGCATCTTGCCTCCGGAGTGTGCAGGTGGGCAGACCTGGTTGTTTGTTCTGGTTCAAGGCAGCACATACATCAAACAGGACAAAGCACTTTTCTGCTTCTAAACCCACACCTCCCTGGCTCCATATGTGACCTGTTTGTTTAGGTACAGGGTTAATCTTTGACTACTTACTTAACTAACAGCCTCTTCCTATTCCTTTTTGTTAAAAAAAAAAATGAAAAGTTTCCAATTCACACTATAACTGGAAAAAACACATGGACTGTTACAAAAATCTCTTTATATCCAAAGAGGCGACATGCTAATGAGCATCAATGAGTCACAACAATTTTAAGGAAATTGGTTGTTTCACTACACACTTCCATAAAAGATGCAAGCAATCTTTCATTACTACATTGATTCAAGCACCGATACAGCCGCAATGCTATCAATATCCACCAAAATGCTAAAATATCTGTGAACACTACAATATTTGTCTACAGGCTCATTTCTCACATGGCAACGGGATGTAATGGATGTAGATTTGGAATCATCATAACCCTGGGTTTATATCAAACACAAACCCAGCACTGTGCCTTGTGAGCAGACATCTCCCATTTCCTCAATCCAACAAGAACTACAACAGAACGCGTAGCACCCCCACATGCATCCACATTTCACAGAGGAAGAAGATGGTCCCCTTTGTGCAAAAGCCTTTTTTGTGGGTCAGAAAATGAACCACACTCCCTGCCCATCCTCTTAACAGGTCAAGTCTTGCCTCTCTTTATGTGACTTTATCCCTTCCTGCATCTTCCAGGCTTAACAGGGTCTATACTTCCAACGCTCCTCTCCCAGAAGATCATGATGGGGTTTGACCGCCATGCACATGTTTCCTTCCCAGGCACAGAAGAAGTCCTGTGTTTTTAGCCTCAGAATCTGACCTGCGTGAGCACCACTGACAGTAACCTTTTAGGACAATCACTCCAGTTCACAAATGACCAGACCCTGAAGTCAGCTGAAATAATCTTGGAATTAAACTCTCCTGGGGTCAAGTCATTAGTCTGGACCCGGGACCTAGAGCTCTAGTGACACAGCTACCAGAGCCAGGGGATATTCACAGAAATGCAACATTAAATGCGTTCCAAGAGTTGATCTGACATCAGGCATGATGAGGTTGGAGCCAAGGACAAGTGGTCTATATTTGAAAGATACGACAGTAAACTCTATGACCAACCACTGTGCAAGACACTTAACTAAGGACAACTTCTCGCATCTTGAAAGGTGGCTGAACTATGTCTTCATGAAACAGGAAGATTTAAATCAGGTGACCTCAAAATAAAAATGGTTAATTTCTATATTAATCAACTGAGTAATTAACTGTGGAAATTAAAAAGATGGTCTTGCTTTTATCACCTTAATTGACCACAGATGTACCAAATTACTCTGAAATGGCTTTGATTCATTTTACCTTTGTGTCTGGCTATTTATTTATTTTCAATAACAGAGTTAACACCCGAGACAAACCACCGAACAAGAAGCAATTACTTTGTTACTTACATGGGTTTCTACACTCATTACTCAAAAGAACAATAATCAAGACCTTCATTAGAGAATGACTGAATCATCGTATCTCCACTCTGTGGAGCATGGAGCAAAGAGAAGAATAGGGAGGTTAGCTGGATCAATGGTTACATACATAGATAGCCTAGATTGGGGTTTTTTAATTGGGACCAAATTAATAAAAAATTATTAGGAATAAGCCTTGATGGTCGCCAATAAGGAAACTATGAATGACATTATCTATTGATTCACTCACGTTTGACATTTAACGACCATGATGAACAAACACTGAGAATGCTACTACTACACATTTCTGTGTGCTTAAACACTCCCTCCCCTGCAAGGTCAAGGCAAACTCCTGCTTCCCAATGAAGCTTATGACAGCAATCAGATTCATCACAGCCTAAGGGTAGGCAAGCTCTTGGCAACCATGCATGCTCACAGGTATTCAGGGAAGGGATGTCACTGCCAACAGGCCCATGTCCTAAGGAAATCACAGACACAACGAAGAGCCAACGCAGATCTATACCCGTATTTGCCACCGCAAAGATGTAAAGGGGCCGGGCTCCCTTGTTCATGTGAGAACAGTTCCTCAGGGCTCCGGCAGTCACTCTCTCATCTCCGGAACTGTGCTTTGCTTTCTGCTCAACTCATTGAAACAATAACAGATCCTGTTGTTCACAGGTATAATAACACCATTATATCTGTGAACTCCGCAGAAACGGGGCAATATGAATGCTTGTCTGTGTCCTTTTTTCATGTGGAAAAGCTACCAAAATATTTTAATTATTACTAAACTAAGTAGTTGAGTTTAAATAGAGTAAGGAATATGGGAGAACTCCAAACTACACACCTGAAATATCTCCACACAGATTCCACAAGTGAGCACTCTCTAGATTAGTTAGTTTAATCAATAATTAATTTAAATTAATATTTCACCATTTACTTAATTAAAACAAAACAAAAACCTAGCAACCTAACCCAGAAAAATAATGTGGTCCTTAACATTCAATTATCTAAAGGCTTCTCACCCAAGAGGGTCAGCTTTGATCTATCTATTTTACTGGAACTCGGGGCTCCAGAAATACATCAGTAATGGTTTTTATTGCATTACAGACTCTTATATTTGGACCATGAATAGCCCATTTTGTCTTTATTCATTTATATGTTCCTTGATTTATTCGCGCACTGTTTTACTGAAAAATAACATAATCTATATTCAGAAGCTGAAAAACGAAACCCTGATTACTTTTAGCTCCGGGTAGAAGCTCATTTCCCACTGAGATGATAAATAGGGATCTTTTGTTAGTGGACCTCAGAGTTAGAGGGTTTAATCAAAATCCTTGATCAAACACCCCAGGGTACTCATCATTGATCCAAGATAAGCAATCTTTTTCATCTTTTGTACCTTTGTTTATTGATCTGTTCATTGCATCACCAGCAGTAATAAGATCAATAACTATAATTTTTTTAAAAAAGGCAAGGACAGTATCTTTGAATATAAGTAGCACCTGTTTCTAAGTTGTTTTTTCTTCTTTTATTTCTTCAGTAGACTGCATCTTTTCCCAGGGGGCGAATGCCCTCTGGACTGTGCCTCAGTGAGGCCAGCAGGGTCAGTTCCCACTCCTCCCAGGCTTCCCAGCTGTGCTACAGCAAGCCTTTTTGGCCACTGTCCGCCCTCCAGGAGGCACTGTCCGCCAGGACCTGACGTGCTGGTGCAGACACAGCCAGCACACCTCATCTGTACACCACAGACCCCCACTGCCCACAGCCACAGAGCACTGGAAATGTGAATACTGTAGCCGAGAAACTGAATACAAACTGAACTCAAAACGCATTGGCATTTTGCGATTTTAAGCAAAAGTAGCCCCGTGTGCATAGGGACAGAGAATTGAATGGTCCAAGGATAGATTTCATTACTGAATAAACACTAAGTTAAATGAAGTAGAAAAACAGGATGAATTATTAATACACTCATAAAATCAATATAATATCTTCTGTCTTATTTTTAACCACAACTGCACTTAATTGAATTAACCAAAATCTGTTCCAAAGCACACTGGCATCATTATTCTACTTATGGCTTAATTTAAATAATTCAATGAAAACTAGAGACAAATTTTGCCCAAGTGTTTTCACTATGATTTCTGTTAGCCTTGCCCACAAAGGCAACAATAAGAGACCAATTCAGACAGTCAGTCTTCATTCTGTGGAATCAAATACCAATTTCCAAAAGAAAGGGAAGTGTAGATTTGGACTGATTTTAAAAAGAACTTCAGTTGTGTGGTGTTAGAGTAATCATCAAGTCGGCTCAAGCCTCGTCTTCTCACTGTTGGTCTGTTTATTCTTATGTGAAATGATTCCAGCAACATCTCAGCATCCATCACTTACACAGATGCACACACACAACCCAGAGCAGAGACGATTTCATATTGCAGGCTCCACAGCCCCCAAGCTGGGAAGATAGCATGGATAGCATGCACAGAAATGAACCCTCCTGCTGAAACCTTGGCTGCACTTGGCCCACTTGAAAACATTTAGTGTAGTGTTGGTACGCTTCATTCACACAGAACAGCTCAGACTAACCAGGGGCAGAGGTGAAGGTCAAGGAAGACTTCAGAAGAGGCTGGCCACGTCTCCATGTGGCCTTTCCGCCACTCACAGACTTCAAACCACAAGTTCTCCCCTTTTTCCAGCACAACTCAGTAAACAGTTGGAATGGCAGTCTTTTTTTTTTTTAATCAGATCTTTAAATTGAGCTATTCTCATTCTTCTAGTATTGTTTTCCCTTTTCTGGTGGAATACTCATGCAACCACACACACAGAACAATGATTATCTATTGTTTCTGGAAAGCAGTAGCAGAACTCCCAGCATCCATCCTTGAGATGTGATACCATGGACACCTCTATGATAACCCACGTCTCACTCCCTACTGCCCCACTAGGCCACTCAGTTTTTGGGATACATCTGAATGAGTTACTACAAAAATTCAGTTTATGAACTGTGAACATTCATGTTCAAGATTCAAGACTACTCTGGTTTTCTACCATAAATCCATTTAATACAGAGAAAAGCAAGGCCACTTTCTAAAATGGACCTCAGAGTTCCAGATGGCTTTAATCAAGTCTCAGCATTGGTCCAGGGCTGGCACGCAGATCCTTCGCGTCTTGATACCTTTCTTCCCCCTGGGAATCACAAACTCCCAGGAAGGACGTCCTACACTCTGTCCCCGCATTGCTCAGGCTCATGTCATCACAAGCAGGATACGCAGCTGACAACCAGACTGCGTGGATTGCGTTCAGCTGACTCAACAGATAGTATAATCAGCAATCAAAATCCACAGAGACACCCCACAGCTAGAGCACCAGCACATCTAAGAGCTTCCCCTTAGCAGGCAACACCCTGGAACTTGACCCAAATGGAAATGCAAAATTCAGCTTTGGCACAGAAATAATATGGAAGAGCTAATAGTTGTGAAAATTCACAAAATACCTCCTGTCTTTTTTATAAATGGACCATGGAGGAGCGAGAAGGAGCTATCCCAACTTCTTGATCCATGAGACGTTACCAGTTTGGGTACACACTTGGCCCATGACACGTTACCACTCTGGGTACACGCTTGGTGTTCCTGTTAACATGTGCCTGCAGAGCCATCACTTCCGTATTCCAGTTACCAGACATGAACAGAGCAGGTTCATGGCGACCAACATGGCTCCTTGCCCACAGAAACAGAAGCTGAGATCTTCCCTGAGTGTGAGCAACAGATGCCAATGTGGCATGCACACCCACGGGGAACAAGAAGACTTTCAAAAGAATAAAAAGGGAAACGTTTTAATGGGTTTCAAAGAGCAGTTAGCCCTACACCACCAGCACCATCATAGGCGTTGCTTTTTATCACATTATCATCAATTGTAGGGTAGTATCTTTTTATCTATTATTCAGCTTTTAGTATGATGTAAAATAGGGAAAAGGTTTGAATCAACTCCTCAAAGACCATGATTAATATCTTTCTAGACACCCCCACCAAATTGCATAAAACCAGATGGTTTTTTAATGGAGAAAACTTTTACAAATGAGATGCATTTAAATTTTTCTCTTATGACACAATCTGGCCAATGGAGTCACACTGAATTTTAACTCACATACTTACTGATTCATTTCCTTAATCATTCTCAGAATAATTTCATTATCTCCTATATTTTCTAAGGAAAACCAAATTGTAGAGCCACCTGTTACCTGAAACTAAATACAGGTGCTTGCCAATCTCTGTATTGGGCCTGTGTTCACGAACAGACCTTTGTGCGTGAACGGCCATTCCCTGCATTGTCCAACATGGTAACCATCGTCCACAAGCGCTACAGAAGTGGCCAGTTTGCCTAAGAAACTAAATTTGATTTTTAATCAATTTCTTCATATACTTGTATATGAATGTATTTATTTATTTGAACAACAGAGTATGGGAGAGAAAAGGACAGAGAGAATGAGAAAAAACTGTCCTCCACTGGTTTACTCCTCAAATGGCTCAACAACCAGAACTGGGCTGGGCTGAAGTCAGGACTCCTGAAACCACCCAGGACTCTCACGTGAGTGCATGGGTACACGGGCCATTCTTAGCTGCCTTTCCTGGCACATTAGCAAGGAGACAAAACTGAGATGGAGTGGGGGCTGGTGTGGTAACCTAGTGGCTAAAGTATTCACCTTGCACGTGCCAGGAACCATATGAGCGCCAGTTTACGTCCCAGCTGCTCAACTTCCCTTCCAGCTCTATGGGAAAGCAGTAGAGCACGGCCCAGACCCTTTGGGACTCTGCACCCGCGTGGGAGACCTGGAAGAAGCTCCTGGCTCCAAAATCAGCTCAACTCCAGCCTCCACAGCCACTTTTCTTTTTGAATAAAACATCACCAAGTCTGTGAGGATTTATAACTACTATGTTCACATTTTCAATGTTACATGTAGGATGATGTTTATATTATTGAATATCCTAGGAGCCACTGCTTACTATACTAAGTGCATCATCTCATGCTAATTGTGGAGGTCTTTCTGAAGACAAAACGTGCTGGGCAGGTGTGTGGAGCAACAAGAAAGCCACTACTTGAGACACCCACATCTGAAATCAGAGCGCCTGAGATGAAGGCCTGGCTCTGTTTCTATTCCAGCTTCCTGCTAGTACTCCTGGCTGACAGTCACTGATTCCCTGCCATCTGTGTGGGACACCAACAGCCCAGCTCCTGACTCCGTGTGGCCCAGGCCTGGCTGCGCTGAGCACCTGCTGAGTCACTAGATAGGAAACCTGTACCTGCCTGGTCTGCGTGTGTTTCCATGCCTGTGCATTTGTCTCTGATCCTCCTGTTGTCAGAATAAACAAATAGACAAACAAACAATGAACTTTTTAGGCGAGACGTGCCACAAGCAGCTTGTCACAAAGAGACAACAGTTATTGCGTCTCTGTCCATGGGCTCTCAAAGGGCTGGCAGCCTCAATCTGCTTTATTTGAACTCAAAAAGTTCACAAATGTATTAGTCATCACTCTGGATTCATTAGCTCCCTTCATATTTGTCATTACTTACATTTTCTTTCTTCCTGCATGACATTACTCTACACCCAGCATCAACAAAAGATCCCAAGCATGCTGCGGAGCAATTCCACTGCGGGCACATTTCCCACACGTTTGCTGGACCTCAGAGTCAAAGACGGGGTTTAATCAGAATGCTTGATTCAGATGCCCCACGCACACTCATCACAGATCCAGACTTGCTTTCTGTGCTCACTTCTTGACTCACTGCGTATGACTTAGAGTGAAAAACAATCCTTGAAAATGTCAAAAGGTGTGAGAGGCCATAGCCCTGACAGCAGAGGCCCAGATGGCCACCATGCACCTCGCCAGTACGAATCGTGAATTAATCCATTTCTTTGCACAGTGTTGCCACCTGTTAGACACTGCACCATGCTTGGGCCTCATTCATTTAACATTTACATTTCATAGATGATGCAATGGACCACCACCTTGACTGCTGTGGAAGAAAAGGCAGAGGGGTCTCCGTTTCTTTTTTCTCCCCTGACAGGCCCACAGTCTATAACACTATCAACAAAAAAGTGTTTCAGTCCACTGGGGTATAAAAACGAACTGGCTCACCCAAAAGATTTGCAACTAACAGAAATGAATCTCATCTGTTTGTCCTAATGAATCCAGTTGTGCTAAATTAGAGTCATAACAAACCCTAACTCATACCATATTGTCAACATTGGTCAATGCATGACCAGTTGGGTACTGTTTATGAACACAGTTACACATCCCTTTGCAGTAACTCACTACACAGGCTTGACCCAAGCCCCAGGCAAGCACATGAGCTCCGAGCAGGGCTTAGGTGGACACAACGTCTCCCAGAGCCTCCTGGGAGGGGAGCCAGTGAATCAGGTGAAATGGGTTCATTCTGGGGAGTAAAGAGCAAAACTTTTACAAAAATTTAACAATTTTCACTGAATTGCTCTAAATGAACCCTGGCTGCATGGTAATCAATTAATCCTAAGCCTTAGTTCATGGCCTCACATGTACACTTAGGAAGAGAAAGCACTTGATATTTATAAAGTTACGTAATTTTGGAAGCGAGAACAACACTTTATATTTATTAACTGACGTATTTTTTTATTTAAATAACATAGAAAGTCAAGCAGTAAAAACAAGAGAAGATGATTAAAATTATTAGGAAAATCTGTCTCTACTTGCCACCCACATAAGTGAGAGCAAGAGCATCATTTGGTTACATTTGGGACCAAATCAGATGCACAAGAAATTCGATTTGTGGTCCAACCCCGACGGTGGTCCAGGAATGAGCCTACTTGAGATACTCAGTACTCAACTCAATAACTGATTTTTTAAATCACTTACAGAATAAAAGTTTGAAAAGTTTCAAAACCCACCGAAACAGAACAGAAACACTAATATGGTAACCACCTGTAGGCACAAGTTGAAAGGCCTACAAAGCTTGGTGTTCCTAAGGAAATTAGTTACATACAACATGACCAATAATTAGGTTTATACCAAACGTAGGATTTCCACTGCTTCATTGTTTGCTGAAATTTTAAAAGATGATTGAAAACAGTTTATGAATTTTTTTCATTTGTAATTCTACTTTGGTGCAACAGCCTAGTGGCTAAAGTTCTCACCTTGCATGCTCCAGGATCCCGGCGCCTGTTTGTATCCTGGTTACTCTACTTGCCTTCTGGCTGCCTGCTTGCGGACTGGGAGGGCAGTGGAGGATGGCCAGAAGCGTGGTACTTCCACACAGGAGACCCCGAGGAGGCTCCTGGCTTCAGATTGACTCAGCTCCGGCAGTTGCAGCCAGTTGGGGAATGAGCTAGTGGAGGAAGGATCTTTCTGTCTCTCCTTCTCTCAATGGATCTAACTTTCCAGTAAAAAAAAAATAAATCTTTGAGGAAAAAATAATAATCATTGTACTTCAGGATATTTGAGAGTAAGTGACACCATCTCCAAGGAGAATTACCTGAATAATCTTTACACCTGCTCTTACTAAATGAGCAAACCCTCGTTTGGTATTCGTTTGTTAAACAAAAATAGCAAACACAATATGCATTAGTAATAGGTGTGGTTGCAGGAATGTTTCAACATTGCTCATGCTCTCTCAATTATTTCATCAACTATTTATTTATGCAAACGAATTTTTTTTTCCTCAATAAAATGGTCAATTGGCACATGGCCTCAACCTGGAATAGAGCGGTGGTCATGTGCTCCTTACCAAGATGGCAGAGCCTTAACCACCGATTTAGTCAAAGTATTTGCATAAAGATCCAAATGAAAGCCAGCACATGCTCTCACTGATTATCGTGACTGCTGGTGGTCTGATACGACCATGACATGTGACTCCTGTCGCCCCACAAAGACAGAGTCGAGCAGCCCTTCTGGAATGCACCTCAGCATTGCAGATGGCCGGCAACAAAATTCTCGTGTTACAAACCCCAGCACACTTTCCATTGATCCATCCTGGGATTGTTTTACTCATTTACTGATTAATTTAGAGATGCTCAAATAAATCACAGAATCCCTCCAAAAACATCACAAGAGGTAGGGATCTTGAGCGAACCAAGCTACGCTGACGGCAGTCACAGGAGCCCAGGTGGGGAGTCAATGCCAGCACTGCTCCCCAACGGGTCCCTTTACTGTCACAGCTGCCACCTTCTGCCACCTCTACAGAACTCACTGACTCTTCCTCGCTCCTATCAGCTTCCCCACAAGAGAGCCCAGTCAAGGCCTCTGCTCACATGGGAATGCTGCAATCAGCGAGAAACAGTGAACTCTTCTGACAACGAATCAAATAGCTTCCATCTCTCTTTAAAATCAGCCCAGCTGTATTAATTTACAGTCAACACTTTGCGGTTCATCACACATTTCCATTACTGGCCTGCACTTGCAGCACTTTATTTAGTTTATGCATGGAGAATTTGCTCCTTTGAAACCCTTCAACTAACACCCATGAACAAACAAACCAAGGGAGAACGTGAGCTAAAGGACTTACTTCTGTTAGTTTCTGTGCTCATTAATCAAGATAACTGGTTGTGGAACAATTGGGTCATCTGCCCTGTGGATGTGCTGGTGAGAGAAAAGCAGAGGGAGGGACAGATTGAACTGTGCTGATGGGGGCCAGTCGAGCAGAACTGGCTCCCATTACAGCAAGCGTTGGCTCACAATCGCAGACTTTTATGAGTTCTGCATTAACTTTCAGTCTTAAATAATATCTTCAGCACTCTGTGGCGCACTACCTAGCCCAAGAATGACATCTGTAGCAATAACAAACATCTGTACACATACACACTGATGAAATGATTGATTAAATAACAAAGTATTGACTAATGCACACACTTTCCCTTTTCTTAATAAGAAAAATAACAGTGAACTACAAAGCAAAGAATTATTTCTTAGCAGATACCAACAGGTCCCCTATTCAAAATGAAAGGTTGGATTCTGCTTCCTCATTTTACTTTAGATTCGTAACTAAAGTTGTTATACTGCAAGAATTAGTAAAAATAACACCTGCTTTATTGCATTCTGTTCACTGTTCCCCTGGTAGGATTGCTTACCCTATTCTAGGGAAGGATCTCCCCACTTCAACACCAGGCAATCATTCACTCCCTGTCTCCGAACAACAAAAGGCCAAGATTAAGTTTAGTGAAGTTCCTTAACATAGCAAATGCGAGTTCACTTCTACAGAGGGTTCCATCTGGCTCGCTCGGCATGGATCTCAAAGGTAGAGAAGGCTGAACCAAGGGATCAGACTGCACACCCATGCACACCACTGACCCAGGCACCGCCTTCTAGACCTGCACTCTTGGTACCTTGTGAAGAGATGGATTCACAGTCAGTAACACCAGCACCCTTGAACGACACCAAACCTACAACAGACCGCCTCAGTGGAACCTGCAGTTGTTCACGCAAGGAACCTCTGGTGTGTGGCTAAGGAGCAGCCAGGAGCAGCCCCGTCCCAGTCTGTCCCTTTGCTGGGTAAGGCCCACTTGCTCCTCTCTCTGTCATGTGTCTATTTATTAAATCTGGATTCATTCACAGCCATGGGCCTAGCAAAGTAGCAACTTATGGAAAAAGCAGACATCTCGCTTCAGAGAGCTAACCACCCACTGGCGGGCAGCAAGGCAACAGGAGGCTGAATGGCTTCACAAATGCCACGGCCACAATTTACACTTCTTCATTCTGTGTCTTACTTCATGCCCCTTGTGTGGCTGAATAGCTGCAGGAAGGAAGCTGAGCCCAGAAGAGCCACCGAGACGCAGACACACTGCACTCACAGTGTCCCTGAGTCCAGAGACAGCAGCCAGACCAGCTGTGTCACTGACATTCTAGGGAGAAGAAAGGAAGAAAGGGAAAAAAAGGAAAAGAAAAAGTCCTGTTTTTCTAAAGAAACAAATGATTGCAACTTGGAAAGGTTTTCATAGCTCTTCCCAAAACATTCAAAAAACCTAGAGTTTTTCTTAGAATATCTGTCTCAGGGGAAAAAAGAAAAACAAAACAAACCCAACGAAACATGCAACGACAGTCTCATATCATAACATTTGTTCCTAATCAGTCCACGGTTTGCTGACTGTTTAGATCCCAGTGGAAACCTGCAATCCTGCACGACCACAGGAGGGTCTGTGATCTTGGCGCCCCACACGGGACACTGGCCACGGCCCTCAGCCTCACAGCCACAGGCTGCCTTCCCTGCACTTCCTTCACTGCAGGATGGCGAGGCAATGCGCCCGCTTCTCAGCACGGCCTCTGCTCCAGCCTCTGCCCGGCTCGCAGTGAGGTGTGGTCTGACCTCTGCGAGGGGAGGGGTACGAGAAGGGAACAAGTCACTGACCATTCCCAGACACACTTGAATACAAATCCACTTTTCATTCCAATCCTAAATGATTAAACAATTTCCCTTTCCCCTCATAAATCTATGGGTTTATTTTATAGCGAAAGCACATGTCCTTACAGGCCCAGGGTGAGGTACTCTGAACTTGGTCTCCAATACAGGAAGAATTTGGGGGTCTCCTGGTAATGGACCTCAGAGTTGTCTATGGGTTTAATCAAAATATCCTGATTTCAGATACCCCATGGTACTCATCATTGGTCCAAGCACTTTTCTCATCCTTTATGTTCACGAATGACAACACAATCACAAAATTCTGGGAAGAACATTTCCTCATCACTGGCTCTCCCCTCCAGATGCGACAGCTAGCTCTGGGGTCCTCTGAGAACACGTTCCATCCACCAGCATCGGAGCTTCCCACCAAGGCCACAGTCACCATGCTGCTTTCCCATACTCAACCTGCCTGTATTTTAAAGATGCCATGAGAAGTGAAGTGACCACCTTCAAATACTCACAGCATCTTACATGGTGTTCTCCTGTGTTGCTACACAAGGCATCAGCAGCAACGAACACACGTGCCAAACTGTGGATCTAAAGCTAAGTGACTAAAAAACCAAAAACACGGAGGGCTTAATATCAGTCACCCCAGTTGTGTCAAATTAAGCGAAACCTGTTTTTTCATTCATAATACATTCTGATCACTGGTGCATTCTTGGTGGTTTGTCTTTCTTTTGTAGCTGTGAATTCCTTCGAAATATCACTAAACACGCAGGAACAAAGCACCCCATGGTGGACGTGCAGATGTGAGGGGTCACGTCCACTGCTCCTGTGTAAGAACTGTGGAGCTAACCGCCTAGAGTTGCTTTCTTAGGAAATAAGTAACAAAGAGACAGCCTGTGGCCACTCTGGGGAAGGGGGGCAAGCAGTTATGGGGATCAACACAAATACATTTTTCCACCATTTAACCAGCACACTAGCTTATTTCTAAACGATGTAATAGCCACTATTAAGCCTACCAGCTAATAAAAAGATGTGTAACTAGTTAAGAAGACCTGCTATGCAAGCGCCCCTCGTGCAGGTGGCAGATGGCCTTTAGATCGACCCAAGTCAGGCAGAATTGGTAAACATACATCGTGTCCCACAGCACCTCATCACCGCAGCACACCACGAACCCAGCCTCGTACAACCTCAGGAGAGAGAGCTACTGTCCACTTCCAGCTGACATTATCAGCAGACAGAAGATCTGGCTTTCCTTCTCTCTGGAAATCTGCCTGCCCAATAAACATACATGAATCTTAAGAAAACAGTCCAAGACAACATAACAAGACTTAAGAAAACACAAAAAACAAGAGACGAAAAGTGTGGTGTTAGGAAATGATCCATGTCATAAAGAACTCATAACATACACTAACTAGTCTTGCAATTCAACATGAAGAAAACAAGAGGCACGTAAGTGACCATGACACATGTGAAGGTCTCCAAGTAACACCGCATAAGGGAAATGCAAATTTTAAAGTAAAATGATCAAAATTCACTATACTGCCAGCCCCAAATGCTAGGGAAGCCATGGAGCACTGGGACCGTCACTGCCTGCTGCCACGTGGACAGACACGACAGAACACTCTGGCCACTTCTTCCTGCCACACAACACAGCAGCCCCTCAGGTCAAGACAAGATCCCACACTCAGCATTTAAAGTACCGAGGTGTCATCCCAGTGATAAAACAGTACACTAAGGTCCGTTTGGTCAATGGAATATTACTCAGCACGAGAAGAAAGAGTTCCCAATTCGGGGAGTGACATGCAAGGAACTTAAATGCATATTCCTTGTAACAGAAGCCAGTTCAAGTCCCGGCTGTGCCACTTCCACTCTGCTATGTCTCCACAGCGAACTGTTATGTCCCACACATGGCTTATTAATCTCCTCGCAGCTGCCTGTCCCAGGACACGTGATTTATCATGTAAACAGAGCGCAATGAAGTGATAATGAACAGCAACAACAACAAAACCTTACCCCATCAACGAAACCTCAAAAGTGCCACCATCTTCTTGTGAGCTGCTTTTGAGATGCAACAGACAAGGTCACCGGAAATCTAAATTAGCTGTGGTGCCGAAACAAAAGGAAATGACTTTGATTCTGAAATTCCTTGCACTTTTGCTCCCTTTAACAAGTTTCAAATGTGTTGAATTTGAATCATACGGTTTTGTTTTCATTCACAAAGCATTCCTACCCTGGATGCTATCTAGGACTCATTCAACTTAATCTGAATGTGTGCCCCTTTGTTTCTGACATAAAACCTCCATGAACAAAATCCCCAAGAACAATAATGCCATCTATTTCTTTAGCTCCACTCCTGTTTCTAACCTGCAGAATTAACAGCTCTAATTTTCAGCATGGAGAATAATTAAATTAGCTGTGGTACACTCAGGGGGTGGGGAAATGCAGATTTAAGAAAGAGCAGCCAACATTTAAATCTTTCAAGGGACATTTGCAAGGCTGTGCTAAATTATTCAAAAATCCTGATTTGTGCTATATTTTAATCAGTGGCAAAAGACTGACCTGGCATATCACTCCCTGATTAATATAGCAGCCAACACGACAACAAGACATGACTGTTACAAAAATTACGAACGTTGCAACAGTGCAGCACCTTCTCCCTGACAGTGGGCCTCATCTGGATGAGCGGTCTGCAGAGAACGCACGGAAAATGAATACAATGAGAAGCCGCAGAGTTCATATTTATGCAAAACAAATTGCATTTTCCATGATATATACTCACTGTTCATTTATTCATGTCTTTAGAAATATAAACTATACTTAGGAGCTTGGACAAAGTGGGAAGAGCCTAGAGCTGTTCGATCCCTGTGGCATCTCCCCCTCTTCCTCCTGTCTCAGTAAGGTACAGTTGGGAGAACTGCACATACCGCACTCAGCACGCACACTTCAACGGTCTGTGCTTACCCCATGTTCTCAACTGAGAAAAACTGCCCCCTACACACACTTCCCAATGTCAAGGTGACTGACCGCCACAGCGTCGCCTCTAGTAAGTTGAGGCCAGTGAACTTACTAAACACCCCACAATGTGCAGGACAGTTCCACGCAACAAGAGCTAGCCAGCCCAAAATGTCAGCGGCGCCTGGGCTGAGAAGCTGCTCTGCCCTCTTGAAGACAACTCAAGTGTCGGCATAGCTTTAGATTCACCGATAAGGTCAGCAGTATCTGTGAACATAAAAAGTGCGTTAGAAATCAGAACGTCATCCAAAAGAAACGTGCCCCTATGCTCATTACACCCAGACATAGTCAGGTACATGACATCTTTATTGTCCATAAATAAGCCACCAGCACCACTTACACAGTACAAAGCAAAAACACAGATTTCTAAGTATTGTCTCAATGTGCTCCCTATTCAAACGGGCATCACAATTAATCAGCTTGTGTTGGAACGGACTGTTTCAGAACTGCACTAACAATATGAATATATTACACACTCTTCACAATTAGGTCACATATGGTTCAACTTGTCTTCACTCATTTATATATTGATTTAATTACTCATCTATTAATTTATACATAATAGTGAACCTTACTTACTAGCCTATGAACAAAATCCTGAATATTCCTAACTTTTGCTTTTACTATTACAGGCATTCACTTGGCCTGTTCTTGGAACCTCAGAGTCACGGGGTTTAATCAAAATCATTGATTCAGACACCCCAGAACACTCATCATTGGTCAAGGCATGGCACGCTTTTGCATTCAGTCAGAATTTTGTCTTTCATTCCATTTATTGAGTTGCTCACAATATGAAAACTCAAAAACCCTAGCAACAACATCCTCCAATACTGCTAAGATCTACCTACAGGCTTCTGTTCCATACTCTCGAGACACCATGTCCCTGGCGCAGCCGGCCTGAATGGCCCACAGATCAGTGTCCGCATTGCCTTTCTCTGGCGGGATTCATCCACAGAGCCAAGACGCTTCCCTTGCGGCACTGCCTCCCCGGCGACCCTCGGGATGCACCGTGGCCTTGGACCACCAAGCGCTGGAGCTGCAGTTCCCGTGCGCTGGGGCTCCGCCTCCTCTGCCCTTGCGGAATCCTGTGCAGGAAGCAGGCTGCCGTGCTGGGAGGAAGGAAAGCTCCATGGAGGAGAGGACTGAGGTCCCCTCGACAACAGCATCAAGGCCCCAGTCCCGTAGGAGCTGCAGGGGCAGGGCCCCCGGGGCAGCAGAGCTCTGTGACTGCCCCCTTCCTTACACCTTGCCGGCAACCTCACTAGAGGCCTTAAGCCCAAGCTGCCTACTCAACCTCTGGTTGCTGCCACACAGGACGAGATGACACATGACATCTGCTTACTGTTGTTTTCAGCACCATGTCACTGGGTACCGCATTATGCAGCAACAGGTGCCCTATACGACACAGGGGTGAAATCAACCCAAACGCTAGGATGATTGGTACAGATGCCGAGACTGCCTGGGGGGTGGGACCCAAGTCTAAACACAAGATTCATTTACATTTGAAGCATGCTAAACACCAATAGCCTAGCACAATTTTGTGATATTTTTAGTATACCTCAATTCTGACTGTGATCGGAGCTTCGAGAATGCCCTTAGTACTAGGGTTGCACAGCCTGTTCAGTGAACAGCCAGGAGCCCTGAGTGCTAGATGTGCATAGCCTGTTCAGTGAACAACTGGGAGACCTGAGAGCTAGGTGTGCACAGCCCAGGCGTGAACAACCAGGAGCCCTGAGTGCTAGGTGTGCACGGCCTGTTCAGTGAACAACTGGGAGACCTGAGAGCTAGGTGTGCATGGCCTGTTCAGTGAACAACTGGGAGACCTGAGTGCTAGGTGTGCACGGCCTGTTCAGTGAACAACCAGGAGACCTGAGAGCTAGGTGTGCACGACCCAGGCGTGAACAACCAGGAGCCCTGAGTGCTAGGGGTGTACAGCCCGGGTGTGAACAACCAGGAGCCACTTGGCATGCTCATCCCTCTTCTTTGTCTTCTTCCCACTTGTTACCAGCACAATCTTGTCATCAAGCACGGGACAAAGTAAAATGCAACACTGAAAATTTGAAAAAATGAAAAAAATCATCCATCATGTTTAACTAATTGATGCTGAATTGGATTTGTCATAAATGATGGTTTAGTTCCAAAATGTGTCCCTGTGTGACTTTATTTATGTATCTGGCCATTTATTCCTTGGACATAGTTGAATGATAAACACACCATATAAGACAAGGACACACGTGCTGCTGCCTACAAGCTCTAACCACCTTGGTCACAAAGTTTTAAAAAGAAAAAAGAAAAAAAAACTTTGTTATTATTGAATAATTTAATCAGCTGTGGCACTTCCATGCTGTGAAATAAAAAGTACATTTTATTAAAACTAGAACACAAGGCCTTAACTTCTTGTAATGGACTTGAATCATAAGGGATTAGATTAATCATAAACCGTGGTTCCTATCACACTCTCATTATTGGCTCAAGAATAACTCTACTTTTTATGCATTGATTTATTTACTCTTTGATTGTTCATAGAATGAACACTTAAACTCCACACCAGAGTTGTAAATGTGGCTATTACAGCAATACGTCTGAATACCCCCTCACCACCCAGACACCCCAGACTCCTTCATCCTGTTGGTGTCTGCGCACTGCAAGGAATGTGCCAGGAAGCGTGTAGCCAAGGTTTGCCCCAATTGGCACATTCACTGCCTCACTTGTATGATTTCCATTTAATTACTCTTAAAGATCTGCATATTCATTTTTTATAAAGAAGAATAAACTTACCAGGGGGCTAGAACTCAAACACATTTCATGGCACACATTTTCTCTGAGAGATGATTCTAGACTTCTTTTACTTCACCTGGAGAAACAGATACAACGTTAGGCTTGCCTTGTGACCGCTGCTGCTTCCTGTCCCAGGTTCTGCCTTCCTCCAAATAACTGGCTGGGGTAAGGACGTAGCCCTCACTCACTCTCATACTGCAACAAGTGAGAATAAATGAGAGCGGGACCCTGCAGCACATGACAAACAACAGAGCCCAGTGAGAACCTGTGCACTCGCTCACGGCCAGACATCTCCAACTTGTTCCAAATGCACTACTTGGTGAACACATCTGGATTAATAATGACTCCCAGCAGGGCCACAACAGTAGTAGTCCATGCCAGGCCTTCTTTTCATAAAGCAATCATTGCAACCATCACATTGAATGCAAATGATTTATTTGTATTCTATATAAAACCAACAACCAACCGCCCACACCAACCCAGAACAGGGACGCGGACTCTCACAGAGGACATGGGCGTCGTGAACAGCAACAGGGTCAGTTACAAGACTCCAGACTTGAGAAAACAACAGATAACAGTTCTTGCTACATTGGAGACCTGCCTCATTTGCAAATGTGTAGTTATTCTTGCATTGGTTCATCTGTAACACAATTTATAGCCATGAAGCACCGAGAAGTCCTCTCTCACAGGGAGCTACCTGGGGCATTTTGCCGGATAAATCTGTAAGCAACAGGGCATAGTCAAAGTCCTTGGTTCACAGGTCTCACGGTGCTCACCACTAGACTATACTCAACACACAATTCTTCCTTTATTTACATTTCCATATTATTTGCTAATATGATAAATTCTCATTTAGTTAGAAGCTCCACAACACTCTTGAATGGCAGTAATAACAGTCCTGTGACCTTTTCCGACATGGCATTCTGCATACAAGTCTGTGTGTTTGGCACACGTAGCACAATCAGCATCTTTCACGACAGTTCAAAGCCTGCTGAGGACTATGTGGGCCCTTCAGGCAGCAGATAACCAAGAACCCCAATCTCACTCCTCCCTCAAGAAATGAATGGGCTCATCTGAACATGAAGCCTGAAAACAAATGAAACCTCCGGCAGTGTCTTCCTTGCACTTTAGTAGGGCACAGTGAAGCTAACCACGATCCAGTTCTGCGCCCATTCTAGTCATGGACCATGCTGGTGTTTGGCATTAGTTATGAATGTAACAGGTTATTACTGTGAAAAATTCAGTCAGCACCCATAAACTAACCTCCCAACCCAAGAACATTAAACTCCAACTATTACCTACATAAATCTTTTCTCTCCTTGCCCACAGAGGTAAAAGGCAAGACCTTTAGCACGATGGTGATTGAATCAGCTGGGGTAAATTCACTTGGTGAAGCCAAATACACTTTCAAAAGGAAAAAAGTAGCCTGCAGTTAGACACTTCTTAATACGCAGTTGCTTTTCTGTATTAATCACAAACTTGGCTTATCTCACAAATTCACGTTTACCCGGATTAAAACTGCTCGCTCAACGACTTATTTTTAAATATTAGTAGTGAAAATGAGAGTAAGAATATAAATCCCATCTACACTCTCCAGCGAGTGGACCCGCTCCTGGTGGAGCTCACCTCCACACACGGGCTGCAGGGCCATCTCTGTTGAAAGGCACCTTTTCACCAGTGATGCGCAAATTGTTCCAATTTGTGTTCCTGTGATTTATTTATTTACTCATGTATGTAGTTATGGAATAATTCATAGCCCACTTATTCTAGAGAACTGCTCCACGCACATTCTCACATACACACTGCACTAAGCGGAGGGGCCTGACGCTGCTCACGGGGCAGTATCACACGCTCCTCCCTCGCCCTTCTTTTGAGCAACTCCTTCACTCCCTGACACCCACATGGTCAGCAGGGAAAGCCAACATGGGGACCAGAACATCGAATTTCTGTCTGAACATTCATGGTCCATGGCCATAATGAACGAAATCCTCCTTTTCAAAATAAGACTCAAGGAATATACTCAAACTACTCAGTGCCACACAGCAGTCCACATGTGGGCTCCCCATGCAGCTGGCCCACTGCCCAGCCCGCTGTCCCGGTGAGCTTCACACATCAGTCATTGGGAGATTAGAAGCAGCCAGTGGCCTTGTTATTATTTTTTCGCACCCCAGATATCGTATTGGCTGGCCCACACTGGAGGTGGAATCATATTCACCTAGGGTCTCAGACTGACTTGGGAACACATGGGAACCCACCGGATCTCAACTTGAACCTCATGAGTGAGCAAAACCACCCCACGCCCAAGAAGATCTCTGTCACTTTGTAAGTCAATGTTTAGCATAAAAATAAATCTGCAAAAAATTTGAAAAGCACCTGAGTGTGCCAAGGTCACTTGCAGTGGGATACTTGTCCTCATCAAACCTGGAGGACACTGGAGAACCACATTCTCAGACACATCAGTGACTCTTGGCATGCTCAGTTTGGGACCACTTGTTGATGTGAACACCCAGCAGAGAGGCAAGCTCCTGCACACAGGTAGCCAGGCTGCACACTGAGAAGTGTCTGTGAGTCAGGTGCGTGTGCCTTATGGACGACCACAGGAGGTTGAGGGGAGGAGGGCACAGACTTTACCTTTGTGTTTCATTGTAACTCATCACTACACAAAACCTAACAATAACGCCTGATCCATGGCACACTCTGAGAAGCAATCCACCTGTGAAAATATTGATCATCGTTTGGGCACCTGGTTACTCATGCCTGTATTGATCCACCTGCACCAACACAACCACTATGTGGAGACCACTGAAATCCTATAATGACATCCCTAACAAACCTGAATTAACAGTAAACTTCAGTCACTGCCAGGGAATAACTAGGTCTCTGACAGACAGCAGAGTTTAAACTTAATCAAAATGATTGATTCATACACCCAGGACTGCTTGTCAG